AAGGAATTATAATTACTACACACAGTCAGAGATTTTTTATAAAACACAAATGGAACGATTAGGCTTACTGAGAGAATTTGAATGGCTGGGTGGGTGGGTTGATCTAGTCGTTCTTATATTGACATTAATCGTGTATGTCTATCATACACATTGAATAGAGTGATACATTTTTATGCGTATATTCACTCATGCATATACCATTACAAATCATTTATTTTAAAAATCTTCTGAATGTTTTTGTGAGTACAGTATTTTCAAGGGTCACAATTTTGATACGAAAGTTCACTGTCTCAATTACAGTTAATATGCCAAAGACTAAGGATAATGGGGATAAGGCCAATGGGCCATATATGAGGAAGGCCTTGGGAAGATTTAGATGTGTCGAGGGAAGAGGGTACTCCACTTGAAATAGAAGAAAAAATTGCCAATTTCATTAAAGATATATTTTTATGACCAAACAAATTCTCTTTACGAGAACAGACAAAAGAAAGATGCAGAAATAGGGAATTTTGCTAATATTATCGGATGGACAGGTAGACATAGTATTTGTTTATATGAAAGATCTAAAAATGAATTAAGGTCAGGGTGCACATTGATGAAAAGACCTCGTGCAGTATGGCAAGTGATTTTAGACGGTCATATCTTTCACCATGAGTACTTTCTGGGTATAAATACAGTGTTTTTATTAAAACAATATGTTTTCTTTCAATTGAAGTACCCATGATTGTAAAAATATCAATCAAACAATTTGAAAAATTATGAATAGGGACCCCTTGTCGGCATTTTTCTTCTTCTAAATATTGAATCTATTTACTCAAAAGAGGATCTTCTTTTTCTGATTTGTATTGCATGCAAACATTATTATCCTGGGAGCCTTGTCTATCGAAGTATTTCGTTTTCAAATCCTGCATTCACGCCATGTGGAACAGTCATACAAGATTTTAGTATAAATCTAGAGGCCTGTAGATCGACCGATGTCCTGGCGGGTGCCGTACGGCCATCGGCAGATAGCCTTGCGATACCCGTGCGATGTCTTTCAGATTCAATTGATTGCGGGCGCCGTACGATGCCTGTACTAATGTGACCATACTCACGATTAGATCAAGACATCGGTGAAAAGTCACCGGCGCCCGGTCGATTTAGAAATCGGCCGATGACTACTCATCGGCCGGCGCCCGGCGGCTATGTGACCTAGGCATAACCGATAATGAACAAATTATTCAAATAGTTAGTCATTACATCTGTCAGGCTCTTGATATTTTAGATTAACCCCCCCCCGAAAGCCTCTAACATTCCCTGCCATTAATATTATGTACCTTATCTATTGTATTTTCATTGTTTCCATTTTTATATGTTTTGTATATTGCCGACAATGTTGAAATACGTAGGCAATAATATTGTAATGTATTTTATGTTATATATGGAATAAATGAGAAATTGAAAAAAAATATTTGGAGACTAATTGAGCTAGAATGCTAAATCTTTTACATCTTGTCATACATTCAGTTGACTATACATATACCAAATAACTAAGCTCAATATGCATAATTATTAAGACTTAAGTGGGTTCCAGTTTTTTTTGTCACCCTGTACTTGGGTATGAAGAAGAACATGGTAGAAGTCAAGTAATGTTAGTTTGTGAAATATAGAATATTCTTCCCTTTTTGCTCCATTCATTCTAACGAATGTCGTATTCCATGTTCTTACAAAACACGTCTAAATCGTTTGAAAAGCCTTTGAAAAAACACAACCGGAACAATTTCCATTGACTTGAGCACCGCGTAGTGTTAATCACACTGAATTTTATTGAACATCAGAACATAATTAAGATTGATAAATAAATAAATTCAAATTCTTATTCCATAATACTACTGTTTCCCAAGGTAAATATGAAGGAATAAAAATCGTATTGAATCGTATTACATGAAAACATCGTATTGTCCCTGGGAAAAATCGTATTGGAGCGTATTGCATGAAAAAGCAAACAATTGTCCCCTGGAAAAATCGTATTGGAGCGTATTAACCTATTTTATGTTTCCCGGTTATTTTCAACTTTAAATTTGATTTAACTTCAAATAATGTGCATTTATTAATATAATGATTGCATTATCCAAATGTAAGATTTTAGAGGGATGTGTTATAGAATAAATAGGTTATTTCTGGTCGGGATCGAATATGGGATTTATTCCTCGAAAAATATGATATTGACCTTGGACAATATGATATTGACATGTTGTCATACATATTGTCCCTCGGAATAAAACCCATATTCACTCCCTCCCAGTAAATAACCTATATATCTCAACATGCAATATTTCCACATTTATGGTTATTGTGTGTCAAGCATATCCATAATCAAATTGTTTCTATATTCTTTATCTCGCGAGGATAACAGGTGGTCTATGTAATAACTCCAAGTCCAATTGGGGATTGCCAATCTTCTTATTCTTGAACAAAGGCTCAAGACAATCATCATTACTCTGTTTCCGTTTAAAGATGAAACCACTTTGGATGATATTCCAGTACTAGTGCTATCCAATATTATCAAACTAATGTGATAAATAGAGCTATTTCTAAAGGTGTTTGAAATTCTTCTTGGGTTCAAAAAATGTTAATTCATTGAAAATAAAATGTTAGTTATCACGCTACCCATTTATGAAAATGCAACATTTGTATAATACTTTATATCAATCCATAGAGAACTGTTTTTTTCTCAATCTATTTTTGTGTTGAAAAATAAGAAGATTGGATAAAAAAGAAAGAAATGAACTCAAAAGCAAAAGTATTTTTAAAAAAAAGTTGACACTGACAGAATCCATTTGCTAGTTTTCCAAAGCCCTCTTGTGTATTCATTCAATCGATCATTACTCCTTGTCTTGATTAACTTACGCCAATTTCAGCATGATGTAACCGTAACCGAAAAGAGTTTCATGGAGTTACACCGCCACTGAATAGGAGAAATGATTAGAAGCCACGTTCGATACAATTGGCATGACATACAATGATAAAACAAGCTTCGAAGCGAGAAATGAAATACCATCAAGGCAAAATTGGTATGCCACCTGTCGACATCTTTGAATATATGTCTACCTAAAATACAGGGTTTTCCAAAAAATTGTATTGAGATAAATATTAAATACTAGTACATAGGCTTATGGTTATAAAATCAACTAACAAATTATATATTCGTAGTCCAGCTTCACATCTGCTACGGCAACCATACGGTCTTTAAATGAGTGAATTTATGCGGCAAGCGTAGGAAAACTGCGCTCGCCTTGCGGTTTCAGTACGGCGTATCCAGTTTTTTACACTCCGCAGGGTAGCCATAGCCACATATATATATATATATAACTCGGAGTTATAATATTTGTTCATATCTGCAGTCTCAGTAGAAATCAACAGACCGTTGTTAGACAGCAGAACGGTTCCACGATGGCCGCACGTCGAGCTTACGTTGACCTGCGTTTGCAGAAGTGTTTTGATGGGTATATACCTTTGGGACGTTTTTCAGGTCATATTAGCTGTCATATCTTTGCTGTGAACATAACGCAATAGATATACTGTTTGATGGAAGGTCACTGATATGTTAAGATACTGTAACAAGTACCACTGGAATTCTACGGCGAGTGTAGTTATCGCCGTGGAATGCGGCCTGCATACGTCGTACGGAGACTGCAAAGCGCCCATAGTTTTCCTACGCTCTCCGAAAATTCAATGCGAAATCAATCTGCGGTCGACGTACGGCTACCGTAAGACAAATGTGACTGGGGTGTTATGGATACGTATAGGTAATGCGCTTTATTAAATGAGTTTAAGATTAACCAAAAGGGTTATCTAAACGTATGCAAGATTTTATGATTAAAATGACTAAAAGTGATATTTAAGTGATGGCCATGTCACCATGTATGATCCAGAAATAAGAGTGACAAAATAGTGAAATTAAATAATCTAAAACAAGAAAAAATGACTAATATCATACATTTACAATAAGCAAAATTCATGAAAAATGTGTATACTCAACAATAGGATAGTTTCTAAATAGCAGAAAAATCAATGAAATCTCGTGCTGCCATCTTTTATTCAGCTTTTAACTCTGGCTAGAGCTCCATTCACTTACATGCTAAAATCTTGGAAAAGTGGCTTAATTTCATGATTTATCAAAGTGTGTTTGTTGAATCTATATAAAACTTGAATGATATACCACATGATGACCCTGTTTATGAACATGTTGTGATTAAACATGCTAATGTTGATTGACATACAAATAATCCACGGTTTTAAAGAATTTTAGCATTGCATCTATGGACATTTGGCCCAACTTTTTTTAAATTGTCATAGAAAATTATTCAAATTACATAACTGTGTAAATCAAAGCTATTTTAGGAGAAAACATTCCACTGAATTCAAATATACCATTTAAAAGAAGGTAATGTAAGTCATTAGAGGTCTAATATGCAAGTCTCTTAAAATCTCACGAAAAACGAGATTTAGCGAGATTTCAAAAGCTATATGGAAACTATACTATTTAATGCATCACCACATGACATCGTTTATCGCATCAACGGTGTTCGACCACTATAAAGCTCTCAATTTTTAAGTTTATGAAAAATTAGAGTACAAAAAGAAGTTCCAGGAAACGTACTGTACAAAAAAGCTTAAGACTATTTTAGAAGAAGAATGGGATGGTAAAGATCGAATAGAAAATGGTTGTTGTCACAATTATAAAGTTTAATTAATGATATCTACAAATTACATAATTTGTTGGATAAAAGCATTTTTGTCAAGAGTTCTTTTCAGGATCTTGCTAGATCTGATTATGCCTTTAATGAGCCAATTGACACCATAAAATCAAATTGGAATTCACCTTCTCGTATACTACTCCCATCACATCGGGTTGAGTATTATTATGAATCTCGCTTTTAATCAATTAAAGATGGTGTCCCGGGTGTTTTTTCTAATTCTTCTTTTTTGTTATAATCATAATACGACTTAAAACTTACATGCAAACTTTAGCCATCATGCTAGTTATCCGATCCCGTTCAACATTACCAGTTGAAGGTACTACAAGTGATTCTCCCTTCTCCATCGCAGATTCGAAACATTCTGTTATCCTTCTCACGTTACGACGCATGCACGGGGCTTGTGCGGAGTACACTGTATAAAACAGAAGTAGGTATAATTAGCAAGGGGGCCTGTGTGGAGTAACTATATAAAAGAGAAGTAGGTATAATTAGCAAGAGGCCTGTGCGGAATACACTGTATAAAACAGAAGTAGGTATAATTAGCAAGGAGTCGCGCGGAGTACACTGTATAAAACAGACTGCGATGAGTACACAGAAGAATGTATAATTAGTAAGGGATCTGCGCGAAGTGCAGTGTGAAGAGAAATAAGTAGTATAAGCAAGAAGCCTGCGCGGAGTACTCTCACGCCCGGTGATCAGAAAAATGAACCAATGGGCGGGGGCAGATTTCTGCTCGAAAATTCAAATAATCTTGAAGATTTATTTTTTCTAGAGTAAAGGACAAGGTGCAATTATTGGCAAATATCCCTATGGTCAAAATGAATCATTCCTAGGTGTAACATGAAGAATAAAATGTCATATAATACTTTGGAAAATATTAAAGTGCTCGGACACACATAAGCTGAGATATGGATCATTTCGTTCAGTAAGGTTGTATTGACTTACATGGGCCTGTGCACCATTGACTTAACATGAGGATATCAGCAGATCCCAATAGAGGCCATTGGTTTCCATTGATTATCACAGAAATACCAAAAATACACTATGACCTGAATCGATTGCAAACTTAATAATTTCACAATACGACACAAATGGTTTATCTCATCAAATGTGCAACTATGAAGTTTGCAATCGATTCAGGTCATACTTAAAATTAAAAGATTGTACATTTTTTCATCATTTTTTTCCCTACAAAATGGCTATAGAAAAATGCTCCAAACCAACTTTTAAATTTATCAAATATCATACAAGTTTGTAAAACCAAAGATTATACTATTATATTTCATTATGTAGTAACATATTTGGATAAAATGCAGGGATGCGTAGGATGTAAATGGATTTTGACAGACACAAAAATACTTCCTGGTTTGGAATCTATGCCTCTACACTTCATGATTGAATTATGACCCTAATAAGTGGCCTATACATCAATACAGTGCTGAATATAGGTCAACAAGATACTAGTGTGCATATAAATGTAATAATTGAAGCAGAATACTCATTTTGAAAAATCAGATGAATTATTTTTTCCCATGGGGAGATAGTAGTAAAGCCGGGGTGCGTAAAAGAAAACATACAGTCCTCACGTTAGGACTACTTTTCGGCTAGGGTTAGGGTTTGGATTAGGGTTAGGGTTAGGAGGGTTAGGGTTAGGGTTAGGGTTAGATTCTCGTAAAATTCCGGAATAAGCCGATTGGTAATGAGTGCCTATATGTAGGTTTGACTGTACCGAAGGTGTACTCACGTTACGAGATGACTGAGAGTGCGCTATCTATGGAATCTGCAGTGCCCCCCTCCCCATGTCACGTGAAAAGGACGCATCTAGGAGTTTAGCTGTAGTACGTTTTCAAAAAGGAACGAAGGCTGATCGGCTCATCGTTTTTATGTCATCTCGATGGTCCAGTTTCGTTTTATACCCTAAAGGTGTTTAGACTAATAGTCAACTTACGAAATGTAAAGGAAACACTTCCAAATTTGCTTTATGTCTATAATTATCATCTCACTCGATGTTAAAAAACCTGATATCATCTCATTTTATACCTGAACCCTTAGGTGCCATGACAATTAACTGCGTCAATGGATTTATTCCTCCTTATCATCACAAGCTGTTGGAATGATGGGTGGATTCATGGCATAATTGTCTAGTGACTTTGAGAGGGATTCCCCTAAAACTGGTTTAAACTGGTTTTTCTACAAAAGGCCAGATACAAACAGACATATTTACTCTCTCAGTTAAGATAATCGTTTCAGTGGTATTATTCAACCAATATGGGTGACAATAGAATGTCTTGCGACTTGACAAAAACAATGATCCTTATTGAGATGCTTTTCTCTAAGACATTTTCGAATCCAGATATTCAATGGTCAGGAACAACCTTTAACCGCGATCATTTCAGTTCAGATCACGAGGCAGAGCAGCAAACCGTGGATGGTAAATTAAAAATTACAGCCAAGTTTAACAAGTCACTGATATTCTTAGACTTTATGAAAACAATGCTGAAAATACTTGATGTCATATCGGAAACCATAGTAAAGAACTGTATTCGCTGTATTCTAGGGAAATCGAATATCAAACGATGGGAAGTACCATATATTCATGAATGCGAAGATGACACCACCACTAATACTTAAGTAAATGACCCTAAAAAGAGCCGATTTTGGGAGATTACCAAGTACGTCGATGACGCAGGAATAACTACAAAAATGACATTTTCGCTTAAATATTGTGGACTTTTTAAACCGATCTTTGATGAATCAGAATTGAAACAAATATACCTGAAGCAGATCGAACTCATTAAATCGATTATCCCCGAAGCTGACTTTGAAGTACTAGGAGATGATCCATTTCCATCTGAGAGGTGGACTTTCGATACTTATGACGAGGGACTAGATTTGACACTGTCTGCAGAACTAATAAAAGCGTGTTTTTAATTCAACACTTTTCTGCTTATATTAGGCTTTCATATTGAGGAACCATTGCCACTTGAACGTTTTGCCTCATTTTTGGGGTTTACATGCGGCGTAGACGACACGACGGATGGCATCTCACACTCTACGCCGATTGGCTAGTTAATGACTTATCACCGATTGGTCGAGATTACAGATATAATATAATATATAATGTCAATAGCTATATTTTGCAGGCATTTAATACTCAATCTTGCAGCTTATGACATTATAAAACCATGAAGCTGGTTCCATATGTAGACAACGCTGAAAAGTGGCACAGCTTGATCAAGGCAGCTAGAGAGAATCGACTAACAACTCAAGTAGGGTTCGGAAAAGATCGTGCGAAATATATACCCATGAGTGCCATCAAAGATCCAATTCAGGTAGTTTCTCCGATGCAAGCGGTGGTTGATAGAGCTAAATCCCAAATGGAGCATCAAAAAAGAGAGGCTGAAGAAAAATATCCCCAACGAACTAAAAGAGTGTTCAAGCTCAGGCAACCCCGTAAAGATGCTGGTCCAAAAGCTGTGTTCAAGAAGAAAAATATTAAGAAATCCAGATTGGACCAGTACAGACCACCTGGTATCCCAGCAAGAGGAAGGAAAATTGATATGGACTGATAATTTGAATTGTCTATCAACTTTTAACATGGAAATAAAGCACTGACAGACACATATTTATCTGATTTTGTTATTTAATCACGCGAGGGCGACTTAATAAAACCAGTATCCCGATAAATGCTAAGTAACATAGCATTGTTGAAGAGGGGGGCACGGATAAATTCAAAGATCACGCCATATCATCGTTGCTGATTGGTTAAATGAGACGTCTAAAATCTCCAGAATGAGATCTCTAAATTCTAAAACAACATCTAATATATATATATATAACAGATTTATTTATTTTGTTAACTAGTTCACGTACATCATATTTCTTTTCAATTATTTGATTTATTAATGCTATACATTGTCCGCATCCCCCTCATAATCAGATTCATCTTCACTAGTAGTGTTTGTACCATCATCCGATTGTTGTTCATCACTTGATTCTTCACTCGTAGATGCATCATCCGTGAATAATTCTCCAGCCAAATATGAATATTTGTTAAGTGTTTTCTTGACTGCTCTGGATTGAGTCATGCCTTTCGCCAATAGTGCCTCTACTTCCTCCATGATATCACGATGAACTTCACTGTGGCGGAGTCCCAGTATATTTGTCAGAAGTTCTCCATAGTTTTTCAAGAATCGCTGTCTGGCACCAAAAACAGATTTCTGTCTAGCTTTCTCTATAGCTGTTTTGTTTGACATTCCTCTTTCTCTATACTTCTTCATCAGAACATCCACATCATCCTGTATCTCATCAATGACCTTATCTTTAATACGATTCAAAGTTGCATTCTCTCTCAGATCTTCAGTATGGAAATCCCCGGTTGTACCATCGTTTTCATCAGTTTCCCTCAATTCGGGGCAATGTCTCCTGTGCTCCCTTACGTCGATTGGTGACAGCATCACTACACCGCAATCAGTACAATGAGGAATAGAATTTGTCACTGCAGGTTTGCTGGGTTGGTTGTTCAACGTGTAGCTCATACCTGGATTCATTGGTTGATACATGGTTGGATTCACATGGCATTGTATACTCGAATCCATGTTTAATTTTGCATCGATGGGTGTAGTACTGTAGTTTGCCTGGTTGATATCATCATATGGTTCTTGATTAGACTTCACGACTCTACTTATATCCATACTGCTGCAGGGGATTGGCATTTGGTTACTGACTTGTGATTGGTCCTCTTTTCCGTGTGAATAAAATACCGAAGACATGCTTATGGGTCGCTCCTTATCAGCTGCTGCAACATCGTATAATCTCATATGTTCGGGAGTTTCTTGCTTCAAATCAACCAGTAGATGCCCGTAGGGTTGCTGGGTAGCCTTTTCGTAAGCGTCCAATAATTTTTTTGATTTTCCAGGATACATCTGATTGGCTAATACGGCCACCTGTTGGCGATCCCTAGGATTTTTATACAACACTATATAGTGACAGTTTAGACTCATAGTTCTGCTTTCACGACCATGATGAAATAGATTCTGCATGAGACAAATGACACTCAAATTCCTGTGGTGGGATCCCTTAGTGTACAGCTCAGAGATCCGCTTATCTTTGGTCATATCAGCCATCAGATCGTCGAAAATGAGTAGATTTCTTACATTGACATCTAGAAATCCTTGGTCACTCAATAACTCTGGAATTCCCATCATGAATTCTATATTTGGAAAGCGTGTCTTTATCTCGATATACATTGGCTGCCATTGACCAAAGCACCAGATTATACGTTGCGGTGGAGGGGTTATCCTTTCATTGACACGTTCTATAAGATTTTTGACATACGTGGACTTGCCCGAACCTGTTGGACCTACCACCATCATCGTGAAGGGATGGTGAAGCATCTTTGTCCTATCACCC